AGAAATGATATTACCCCGCGTCGTAAGGAATAATACAAGATGGGGATGGGGCAGTAGCACTTTCCCGATGAAAACTTAAATTAATAAATAACTGCGGTGGCCAACCAGCATAACGCATATTTTCACGCAGGCATGGCAACTATGGTAAAAGTCATCCTATGAGGATATCTAGGGAAGGCCTTTTTTAGGTGGGTGGGTAGGTACTTACTTATGGTTAGGTGGCTTAATCATGTTACCTAATGGTTAAGGTGGTAAAATGTTTTAGTTAATATACATTGTAAAGCATCAACAAGGGTTTGTTTTTGTAATATGTTGGTATATAAAATAAAAACGAATGTTTTATAATATTCTATTTTAATTTACCATGCAGTGTAAGATTATCTGCTACCTCATATCATTCCATGGATGGTGTATGAGGCGACATAGGGAAACATCAAAGAAGATAAACAGCAGCATTTTCCTGATAACAGCTAAATAAAAAAAAAACATTGGTTGACAACCCGCTTTCCAAGTGTTGAAACTAACTATAATCATGGTTATGTTCAACAGTGGACTTTTGATAGACTGTAAAGATATATATTCTATTCAAATGAAAATATATAGAAATATAAAAAGGAAAAAGAACTAAATTTTGTGTACTTACACAACATTTAGAAATATTAACAACAAGCTGTTCCCCCCGACTTCGTCCGCGTGGAGTAATTTTTCGCGGAACTCTAAAATAAAAGCAGCCCAAGTTACTCCTTATAACATCAGCTATCTGCCAGTGTATAAATATTGACATTAATATTTATACGATACTACCTTCTCGGAACCCGTCCACTAACACTTAAACTTTATGGTATGGTATTAAAGTTCAAATTGACTTTTAAGTATTATTACGAATCTTTTGTATGGGAATATAGAAAAGTGTTGTTTTTAGACTTTTTCATGCAATTTTCTCTCCGTAAGAACCATCTTCGTACTTCAAGGAATATTATAAAAAAAGAATTAGCGAAATTGGTTCAGCTGCTCTCGAGATTTGCGCTTAGCAACACATTCAGCTATTCATTTATATATTATAGATGTTACATTAAGTAAAACAAATGAAAACACAATTATATATTTAATATAATTCAATAAAATTAAAATTAATAAACGATTATTTATTAATTTTTCATTACATTAATAAACAACAAAATTAACAAAATTTTTGTCTTCTTTCTAGAGCATTCGTTGTTATTCTTGGTTTGAGCAGCTTTAGAATTTCTCAAAAGTATGCATTTATAAACTTGATTTATAATTTGCATGGCAGAAATTCTTGGGTGCTGGTTGTTAGAATCGGATTAGAAAGGAGTATATATATTATATGCCTTGTATAAAATATATTTTAGTGGTATAAATAATAAGGTAAAACTCCTAAACTATACTTAGATAGGTAATACCTATCTCTTGTCAAAACATCTTTATTATATTATTTATGTCAACTAAATGGAAATTATCATAATTACATATTATATTTATTTCTTAATTTATTTACACATTATTGTTTATAACACCGAAATGAATATATATTGAAATTTAAAAAGGAAAATGAACTAAATTTTGTGTACTTACACAATATTTAGAAATATTAACGATGTTACATTAAGTAAAACAAATGAAAACACAGATATATATTAAATATAATTCAATAATATTAATATAAACATACGATTATTTATTAATTTTTCATAACATTAATAAACAAATTTAACAAAATGTTTGTCTTCTTTCTAGAGTATTCGTTGTAATTCTTGGTTTGAGTATCTTTAGAATTTCTCAGAAATATGCATTTGTAAACTTGATTTATACTTTTGCATGGCAGAAATTCTTGGGTGCTGGTTGTTAGAATCAGATTAGATATATATATATATATATATATATATATATATATATATATATATATATATATATATATATATATATATATATATATATATATTATGCCTTGTATATAATATATTTTAATGGTATAAATAATAAGGTACAACTCCTAAACTATACTTAGATAGGTAATATTTATCTCTTGTCAAAAACATCTTTATTACATTATTTATGACAATTAAATAGAAATTATCATAATTATTACATTTATTTCTTAATTTATTTACACATTATTGTTTATAACACCTTTATAAAATGGATTAAGGGTGGACTAAATGTCCCATTGGTAGGCATTCCCAGTCAGTTTTACAATTATTATTGCATAATAAATTATTCATTTGTATATTTAGGTCAGGACTTTAAATTATTTATTTATTTCTTTTATTTAAATCTTTATTTTCATAAAACATGGTAGTACAGATAAAGTTCCAACATTTGTAAATGAGGATTCATGTTTAATCAATCTATCTTTAAGTAAATATTTTGTCATTGTCATGCAACCAAATTATTACAACTCATAGTAATACAGAATGTCAGCGTTTGAAAATAAAATATGCAATGCTAGTCAATTTTTAATACATACAGAACAATGTCAAAAATCATAACTACTAATAAGGTCAAACTTATATCACTTATGGAGAAACAACAAGATACAACAAGAAATTATAATATTTAAAAAAATATCTTAATTATATTATAAATTACATAAGTTAAGTATATTTAGTCCACCTAAAACAATGAGGCTCATAATGTTTTGAGCATATACTGTTAAGTTTTGTTGGTTACCTATAATTACTACCAGTAGCGATTATCCAACAGTTACGGATAGCTGATTCCTTAGAAAAGCTGTGAAATAATATATTTAAAAGAAATTAATATATAAAATATATAGTACACTTTTATATCAAGGCATTTAACAAAAAAAATCAAGTATGGGTATCTGTGCGTAAATACAATACCTATAACAATTAATACAATATCATTTGATTTAATTAAATAGCAAGTATATATAAATGTAATGATACAATTACTCATACCAAACATTTAAAAAAATTATGTACATATTAAGCTTTAGATATTGTTATTTAATACATTTACAGCCTAACATAGTTATGTCCTCCACAGCTGAGCATAGACCTCCCACACAGTTTGTCTCTAAATAACTGCAGTTGCCAATTCTCCTGCCAAGCTAGGCAACTATCACAAAACCTATAACTTTTGACTTTTGATACTGACTAATGGTAACCGTGAGTATATTATCATCAAATTTTTTCTACATCATTAATTGAGAATATTATCTTATGTTGTTGTGTTATTGTGTACCTTACGATTAAGACTTATCTATTTATTTATTATTTTATCTATGTTTATATTTATTATTATATTAGTATGACATATTTTTTTTAATAAATATTGTGATGTAATTGTTGCTAATGTATAATAGAATTAATGGAATTCAATAAAGTTTTGTGCATCTGATTTCAGGCAATACATATTATGTGAAATTAAATACACTTTGCCCAATGTTTATGTACGTGAATCCAAACATGTTTTCAGGTTGATACTTACATATTATTTGTGACGTCTATGTAATATGGAAAATGATTGAAGAGGGTTAGGGCAATAAGGAGTTTCCTTTAAAGCTGAACATAAAAGTGTATGTATATGTATAACATTATGTGATTCATATTTATGGACATAACTACTAATCACAATAACAATTATTATTGAACAATCTGAAAACATTATTGTACTCGCTGATATCCCTAAAGTTTCTATAATCCTACCAAATCAAAAAGTACACGTTTGTTATGACTTTAAGCTTTCGAATGACCGTTCAAATTAAGAAGGATTATCATGAAGAATTTATAATTTGGGAGTCTAAATATTCGACAAAATACATCAGAAAGTTCATTTAACACATGAAATGTTACACTTTATATTCAAAACAATAGATATTAATCAGTACAAGTAGCAAATGTAAGCACAAAACAAACTTACCGATGAAAGGTAATATTATCAATTTTTCGTTGACTGATGCTGTTGCATCTTAAAATGCTACAACTTACGATCTTTTTCATCTTACCTAATAACTAAGACCCACAAAAAACACTAAATTCAATTACCTGTTTGCTTATAATATCAATATTATTCAAAAGAGCTTGACATCGTTAATGTCAAATAAAGGAGGGAAAACAATCAAAAACGCATACCTAGAAAAAGACAAGAAATATAGATTTGCTTCTCCCTTACTCTTATGTCTAACTATATACGTGCATTCCTTTCACACGGTGGTGACGTCACGGAATGTTTAGTCTATAGGATACTATGTCTATGGCACACAATGATAAATCAAAATTTGTCACTCGTTTTTTGGTTGTCCTGTCGTCTATATACCAGTATATTCTAAGTCTATGGTCATAACTATAATATCATTTATAAAAATGAACAGTTGAATTTGAAATAACTTTGCGCATGCATGTATACGTATTTAAAAAATAGGTACTTTTTATGCTTAAGATTAAATTTATCGCTAAACTATTTTTTAGTTTTAATGTAGGTTGTGGTTATAATATAAATTTTTATCAAATTTTATATAAGTTGTACCATTTAGATGGTAAAAATATTTTTATCATCTACTTGCCACAAAATTACATCGACCCAAAAGTGTCAGGTCGGTCACAAACCGTTAGAGACGCATTCTCTCGGCGGCCATAGTGCATATTTTTGGTACCTACTAAATATAATAATTTTAGATTTTTTTCATTGAATACGTGTGTGTGTGTGTGTTTGTGTGTTAGTGAATGTGCAAATATACAAATAAAATACAAAGGATAAACTGACAATTAATCTAAAGTGTCACTGAAGTGCTTTAAATAGGCCTTTGGAACCTGGTTTGTCTTTGTTTCAAAGTGAACGCACCTCTTGTAATTTATTTGTTGCCAGCCCTGCACTTCCTGTCGTATCTATTGTCTATGAGTCCGCTGCCATTTTGAAACGGCAGTGCTTTTTGTTCGTGTGGAGCGTTTGCTCGTTGCGAAGACTAGATCGTGTTTTAGTCAAGTTTAGTTTTATTTTATAAGAACTCACTCAAAATGAGCTGGCAAGATTATGTCGATAAACAGTTATTGGCATCCAGATGTGTTACAAAAGCTGCGATTGCCGGTCACGATGGAAATGTCTGGGCCAAGTCGGAAGGCTTCGATGTAAGTTTCTCGCTTTGTTAGGTTTAAGTGGTTAGTGATCTGCACTTTTATTAGTACGTGACTAAGAGTTTTAAGTGCTTATATAGTGCATTTTAGTGATGTAGATTTTTCAAAGGGTGGATGACGAATCCGGCAAGTTTGACAAGATGGCGACATGTGGTGGCAATAATCTGAATAAAATTGCAAATTTTCTCATACCAACATTTGTTTTCTGCTGTTTTCTTTTAAAAAATTGGTTTATGAAATAACCACGAGAAAGCTTGTATTCCTCCGTAATAGCTGACGCCCATATTACTACATATTTGAAATGCCGGCCGGCCTTGGTTACGGTTACACGTCGCCGCCTTTTGTTAGCTTTTAAAGTAAACTATAGAATTCCTATTAATAATTATTATGACGAAATTTCGTTTTGTTTTTACTTAACTACGGTTATTCCTTATATTCTGGTCGAATTTGTATTTTCGGAGATTTTAAACTTTTTTATTTTGGATTTTGACCTGAATGTCCCAGAAGGAATACAATGAAAATAAAATCCTGGGTGGATTTTCAGGTAAAGAATGACTTCTGAATTATTGAAAGCTGTCAATCGTATAGTAAATATTAAAGTTTCATAAGCATTCGATCAAGGTAAGAGGCACCTCACTCGGGCTAACTTACCCTATACCTGTCATCTGCCTTGAATGTTTCTTGGATTTGTTCTCGTTAGAAGTTAGTCATACCGGGGTTCACAAAAGCTGTTCATGTAAAACTTGAGCACATTTTGTGTCTAGGGGAGAACTAATTGAATGATAATTATTAAATTAAAATAACCATTAATTTTCTTTTTTTTTTAAATTAAATTTCTTTAATTGAAATAATAATGATACGCAAAAATTAAAAATAATAATAATCTTGTTTAAATGTAGCCTTTACTTAATAAATAAATTATTTTTGCTAATGCTAATTATTTTTTACATAGTAAAATCTGGCTTATATTTATATTGGTGTTCATCTTTTCTCCTCTTGCAAAGTGAAAGCTTATGTACACTGCTGCTGCCCCAACAATGGTAACCCATACTGTTTCCTTGTTCTATTGAAGGAAGTAGAAAGGAAATAGGGAAGCTTTAACATCAGTTATCCTGATTCCTGGCTGTGAATTATGATATCTGCTATCCATTCTCTCTGTGACCTATTTATGCAAAGTCACATGCTCTGTAAAACCAGCGCTTTGTATGTAACATTTTGTATCTAACCATGGGTTTAATTAAGGTTTGGTGAAAGAGCATTGCAACTCTAGGGTATGGTGCGCCATGATTTAGTCTAGCCACAGGGGTTGCACTTGATTGTCAGCTTTCTGGCACACCAAAGCATTCATGCCTAGAAGGCACTTGCACCAGCTGAAAGATCAATTATTGATGTTGCCTGTTCATGTTGTTTGACAAGACTGAATTAAAAGCCTGGATAGTCCAGCTTTTGGGTTTCAGGTATAAGCTGCTGAGTGTAGCAGCATTTCTCATTTAAGGCGAGAAATGGCATCATTTGTGTTAGAGTTCTGAGCACAAAGATATATGTGAGAAACTCTGCATCAGTCTGAGAGAGAGGAGACTCTGCCTATACACACCTGAATCATGGGAGTTGATGTGGTTCTATGTATAACTCTGTTGGCTTCTGCTCTCTAAAGCCTTCTAAGGAAGGCACTTTTTGTCAGGACCTCAATGCAAATGGGAGTTTCAGGGTATTTAATGGACCACATCATTCCTAAGTAATGGTGGTGGCAAACATTTCATCATCATATTATTATAATCTAGTTAATAGTTATTTAAAGTTACTAAAACCTAAAATATACTAACTTAGCTTACCTGGACAATTTGCCATTTTTAATTTCATGTCTAAAAGTGTTCTTAATTATCTAGTCACCAAATTATCTTAATTTGGCTCAGTTTTAGAAATAGCAAGCCCTAATATTACCATCATATTTTTATGGTGGAAAATATTTGTACAGATGGCATCAAATACCACAATATCAAAGTGCTGAAATCCATACTTTTTAACCCCTTAACAGGCATTGCAAACTAGGCAGAATAAGATCATATAGGGTAGTGATTCTATGTAATAATAAGTTAATAACTGTATTGATGTAAAAGAAATTTCTGTAACAGCTTTTCAGGCATGGTATAATATGAGCGGTAAGGAATTGCTTTGTACCTTATTTTGTCAATGCTTGAAGAAAAATAAAACAAAAATTATAAATCTCGGCACATCAACATAGTATATCATGTTAAACAAAAATCATGTATTCATAAAAAGCAGTCTTATTAATATTGTTTATGATTATGCTATGCCCGGGAAGCACGGCCGCTCCAAGAATTCTGTAGTTTGTGAACGTGTTCAAGATCATCCCTGCCATTACATTAGATTTGATAGAACACAAATATTAGCAACAGAACACCGATTGCTACCAAGGATGATTCACAAGGCTATTGAAATTAAAAACATCCTAATTTCAATAGAGAAGTTGGATGGGTGCTACCATCTGCTTGGGATCTTATAATTGATAAAATTAAATCCAAGCCCAAAACATTGCTCTTCGGATTCCTCAAAGTCTTGCTCTTTTGGGTTTACAAGCTTACAATTCGGTTTCATTTCTCTCTTTTGTCGCTTTTTTGGCAAAATTCTAAGAAGTGTTATTTTCTGAAGATTCCACATTACTCAGTTTTTTTCTTTGATCAACCAAATCATTAGACACATACAAATTGCCTTTGACTAATAACAAGAATTCACATTTTTAGAACTGCCATAACTAAAGGTCTAGCCTTTGCTAGCATTTTATGGTATAATAAGTGTTTGTAAATAGAAAGTGTCCTGTCTGCCACCAAGTTGTTCAATAAAAAGGAATATCGTGTAACTAATCTAGCTAATAACAGTATTTAAAAAAATTATAAAGGTAGCATGACATTGTTACCTTCATAATTTTTAGATGATGGTCTTTCACTGCTGGCAGTATGAGAAAGCTCAAAGTCGCTCAGCTTACTTTGAAGAGAACTAAGCTCAGAGTTTCTCTGAATGATAGACATAGAAATTAGGATGTTCGCAGCAGAACTGTAACTAATTTATCCCAATGGATCACTGAGCTGAAGTGGCAATGAGCTGGCCATATAGATCGAAGAACCATTAACTGATGGAGGATAAACAAAGTTTATAGGGTGGTTGGATGGAGTCACAACCTGGTAAGAGATGTGGGATGTCGATGGATGCAGGTGGCTAATGACCATGTTTTTTATGGCATTTTTTGGGGAAGCCCTATGTTCATGCAGTGTTGTATGCAGTCCACCTGATGGTAAATGGATGCTGTGACCCATAGACACTTTCATTTATCCTTAATTAAGAATCAAAATGCAAATGCATTGCCACCGCTAAAGACTAAGATGGAATGCCTTGTTATTAAAAAAGGTCCTTAATATCTCCATTCACCATATTTAACACAGCAGCAATCATGTTTTTTTTTAGAATTAGGGTGACAAACAAGCACACGGTCCACCTGGTGGTAAGTGGTTACTGTGGTCCATAGACATCTACATCTATCCTCGATTACGAATCAAAATGCAGATGCATTGTCAACCGTGAAGACTAAGATGGAATACCTCTTTTTCAGTAAAAAAGGGTCACCGGTTCTCTACACTCACCATATGAAACACAGCGGCGTTATGCTACTATTTTACGCTGGTAATCTGTGAGAGCGTGGTCCTTCCCCGGTCGAGCCGACCCATTCGTGCTACAACTATACTATTAATATAGCTGCAGCATGGCTCTACCACATACAAGGGTGCTTATTAAGTGGCGAAACTTGCGAAGTCACTTATTGATTTCAAGATGTCTCTCCGTCTGTCCCACGATTATCTCCAGAACGGTTTTGAATATTCAAATTCTGTTTTCAGCAATCGATTACTGATCACCCAGGCATCTGAACCTCCTATTTTGAAACTGATTGCTCAACGGCAACAGTTAGAAACCACTACAAAGCTGATTGCTTCGCCACTTTGCTATGCTGTTAGCTTGCTAGGTTTATTTATGGTGGTATTCTGTGAGTGTGTGTGGTCCTTTCCCAATCCAGCTGAGCAATTCATGCAAAAATAGTATTTTTACACAATAACTACTATTGATCCACTTATGTATTATGTAGTTTATTTCTGTTCAAATAGTTTAAAGACTTTTAAAATAAGAACAGCCAAATTAAAGTATTTATTCTTCAGATTTCAAAAAGGAGATGGTACTCAATTCAACTGTATGCTATTTTTTGTGTGTTACCTCATAACTTTTTACTGGGTGAACCGATTTCGATGATTCCTTTTTATTTGAAAGCTGGTGCTTAACATGTGGTCCCATATAAACTTGATCAAGTTCTTACCAATAGTTTTTGAGTTATTCTTAATAATTTATATAGAAGTTGGTTGTACAAAATTTTTAGTTTTAAATTATTAGTTTATGGCATAATATATAAGTAATTTATTATTATAGATAAACCAATCATTGTTAACATTTTTAGAAATATTCTATTGAGTTTCTAGCCTTTGGATTAAATTGCTAAAAGCAAAACTATGAAAAATTAGATAACAATTTAGTTTAAGAATCTAAGCTCCTTGAATAAAACTGTTTTTTACGGATTTTATTGCGTTTATTTTACTATTTTTATTCCCGACGTTTCGAGTGCTTTACAGCGACCCACGGTCACGTGGGGGACAGATGTTTGACGTCCCGATGTCACAGTTAGCCCAGCTACCTTCAGTTTTTTAATATTAAGTTTTGGTTCGATTGACGCAGAATGAACTTAACAGTATCGTGAAGTCTTGCAGTGGTATGCTTGGGTTTGGATTTAATTTTGTTAATTATAGGATCCCAAGCAGATGGCAGCACACATCCATCTTCTCTATTGAAATTAGGATGTTTTTTAATTTCAATAGCCTTGCGTATCATCCTTGGTAGGAATTGGTGTTCTTTTGTGAGGATTTGTGGTCTATCAAATCTGATGTAATGGCGGGGAAGGTCTTGACCATGTTCACAAACTGCAACTTCCCGGAACGTTGGTGCTTCAAGTGAGCTATATGTTCTTTTATGTGGGTTTTTATAGATCTTTTTGTAGAGACCACATTCACAATCCAGTTTGTACACTGATGCGTGTATATTCAATTTAACGTTGAAACGTCGGGAATAAAAATAGTAAAATAAACGTGATAAAATCCGTAAAAAAACGGTTTCATTCAATGTGTAAATACAAAATGAAACACAAAATGTTGGCGTAAATATAAGAAATCATTATCTAAGCTCCTATACTTTTTAATAAATATGACAGTATTCAATAATTCGTTGGTATTGGATCAAATTTAGTAAAGAAATGTTAAGTAAAAATGTGCTTCACTGTTAAAATTGGCTTGTTGAATCCTCTAATTTATAAATCTCTAAAATTTCATTGCACTCCAAATAATAATAATAATAATATTCCACAACTATCAAACAACGCCATCTAGTCCCAAGCTAAGCAGAGCTTGTGTTATGGGTACTAGACAACTGATAAACATACTTATATATTTCTAAATACATAAATATTATAGATAAATTACACCCAGACACAGAACAAATGATCGTGCTCATCACACAAACATTTGTCCTGGGTGGGAATCGAACCCACGACCTCCGGCGTAGCAGTCAGGGTCACTAACCACTAGACCAACAGGCCAGTCATGCAAATGCTATGACTGTTTAAATCAGACTTCAAAAAGGATGAGGTTCCTTATTCAACTGTTTATTTTGTGTATGTGTATTATGCAATATCTTTGACTATGTAAACCAATTTTATTTATTCATTTTTTCTTAAAGGTTATATTGTATAATTCAGGGGTGATCCTATATAAATTTGGAAAATAAATTTCACCAAGGGTGTAAAAATAGGTGTGAAGTTTTTAATGAAATTATTTAGATAACATTCTTGTTGTTACCTTGAGATTGTGAAATTCCTTGGTGCACTCGAGATGCTCAAAAAGTAAACTTAAAATTAAAGGCAGCATTTAAAGAACTGAAAAGAACAAATTATTAAAAGTTTAATGTTTCGTAATTTAAATTCATCTTCACATCCAATACTTTTTTTAACTTTGATGAAAATATACAAATATCCATTTAGGCTTTAATATATAAAAAGTGATCTGGTAATCTTCCATGAATTATTATATTTATTTGATATTGGTTAAGGGTGCTAGTTGAACTTCTACAATTTCGAAATAAGGCCTTAATCAAATTTAAATATTCATGTGTCAAATCTATTCTAGTAGTTTCTCAAAGTTCTCAATAACTAGCATATATGATTTGTCAATTTATGCATATGGATTGGCTACAATTTTCCTTCTAGCTTACTTAGTTACTAGTGTTTTATTCTGTAAAAAAGAGCAATATGCCCAGTTTATAACTTGTATTCTCTTGATTCGTTAAAGGGAATTATTGAAGAAATTATAATTTCAACCTTTACCACATTCTCTATTTTTTTGAGTAACACTTGTACATACAATATAAAAAAGTTACAGCCTATACGGCCCACTGCTGGGCACTGGCCTCATCTCATTTCTGTGAGGGTTTTTTTTTAAATGAAGACAACACGTCTTGAAATACATTTATTTTGTGGATCATAGGCATTATTACATAGATGTCAAATACAATATAATAAAGTACAACTATGATTACAAAAACTAAAAAAAAGTACAAAGTACAATATATTTTGCATATCAAAAAAAAAAGTAAAAGAATGTGAGAACATTAAGTGGTCATAAAGATTGAGAAAAGAAGTAAGCACGTCGGAAATCATTGTCATAAAAATATCATGGAATGATGACAATGGAATATTGAATACATTATTAAATAATAACAATGCAATATTTTAAATTTATTTTATTATCAACAGTGTACTTATATATATTTTACCCTTGTTGAAAATTCTGTGTATACTATAAATATTAAACTTACTACACATTATCTATTAAGCACCAGTTGTAGATATTGGGCAAAAGAAGATGTTACTTACATATTTGTGTGATATTTTATGCTGAACATAGGTTTGCCTCATGGGGGGATTTTGCCATAGTTGCCATGCTTGGCAAGTGAGCTGACAACAGCTGTGTTTTATTATTTTGAATTATCTCGAAGATGTTACTGCCCATTTTCTGTTTCGATATGGTGTAGTGAATATTCTTGCACCGTCACTACCTACTACACACACTAGATTTTTTGTAATTATAAATAATTTATTTTATAATATCACCAAGGATGTTCGTGATGGCATAGAGTTCAGAAAGTTGAGGATGTTAGTTATACTTTATTTTTCTAACACCGTGAATACAATTACTGATGTTCTCGCTGCTATCTTATCCCACATAAGTTTACCTTCTCAACGCAGAATTGGCTGTCCTCCATCTTCGTAGTCGCCAGCACGCGGTTCGTGTCAACGGTATTATTACATAATACATAAACACTCACGCCTGTCACCCAGAGGGGTAGGCAGAGATTATGGACTTCCATTTGGCACGATCCTGACACACCTCTCTCGCTTCGTCCACATCCATATACCTAAGCATACACGTTGTCGATTAGTGCGAGGTGTTCCAAGGCGGAATCTTTTATAATGGCGAGGATCTATAGATCGTTCCTTTAACTAGCGCTTTAGTAAAGCCTTTATTACTTTGAAACAATTGTAAAATTCAAAAACATTTTACCATGTACGAAAACTCTGTTAATTCAGTCCCTTATTCTTTCTATGCCTGATTATGCTGAAGTCTTATATGCAGATAATAATCTAGTCAACAAATTGTCAGTAAAGTTTCGGTTTCAGTCTTTGAGAGCATGAACACGTTTTTCTTTATCATACTCAACTAAAATGGTTGAATATCCCTCTACAATGGGTCTTAGGACTCTGCTCTCGTGTCTCTAGATCCATTAACTGGAGTATTTGAAATGTAAATTTTAATTTGTAATCATCGGTCTCACAGACACTCCGAACTCTCAACTCACTGTATTGGGTTTTTTCTCAAACTCATTCGCTCAAAACATCTAAGTAAATATAAATAATTTAAATTATATATTATCATTCACGATTTGTAAGAAAGTGGTGGTGTAAGAATATCCACTCCAGGGGGAACAGATCAGATAGGCAGCGAGCGATAGCAGCGACTTCCCAGTAACAACTAAAAATAAAAAAAAACTGTGGTTGCCAACCCGCCTAGCAAGCGTGGCAACTATGGTAATTATCCGCCACTATGAGTCAATTTACGGAGGAGGTTTATGTTCAGCAGCGGATTTTTGCTGGGCTGTAGCCTGTAGCTGTATAGTACTACCTGTAACTGATCACTTGTATCCAATAATTGTTACAACACAGTAAAATCTACTACTTTCAACTATCATATAAACGACCTTATAACTTTTAGAATAAAACACAAATGTAAATTTTGAAAAAACTAAAATGACCTACATCAATTTCTGTACATTCATAAAAACTTCTTTTTTTAACTCTTGTTGTTTTTAACATATAGGTATATTGTACTACTACTAGCTTCGCGAGTTCCCATACATTTAGAGTTTAAAATAGCTATTTAATCTGAAAATTAACAAAGTGTTTCTTTGTTGTCAGATATCGAAAGATGAAGTCGGAAAGATAGTAGCTGGTTTCGAGAATGAATCACTACTGACGGGCGGCGGAGTGACGATAGCAGGCACGCGGTACATCTACCTCAGTGGCACAGACCGTATTATACGCGCAAAACTAGGCAAGGTCGGCGTACATTGCATGAAAACGCAGCAAGGTGAGCATATACCCTAATAAGGTTTGCGTCTCGTTTTATTATAAGGGCATTTTGTAATAAGGCGAGACGAAAAACTTTAGTTTACGCACAAAAAATATTCTATAGTATAAAGTTAGTCTGCGACATCAGGCTTACTTACCATCCACTTATTGAAAGCGTAGACCAAACCCTAGGTATATCTTGTGACATCTCACAGAGGGGGAATAACATTCTCCAAAATTGCCAGATAAGAAATTTAAAGTTCGATGATGGAGTTGCGTGCTTAGGATGTGGGGCTATTTGGTACTGTGAACTGTTGTGATGTTGATAATCGATAGTGAGTCGTTAATATACAACGATTAATTTATCAATACATATAACAGAATATCCAAATCCAAGTAAACTAGATGCAACCGCGTTCTTAGCACTAAATTGCGAGTGTTACATGATATATTATTTTTAATTATTTAAAATATTGTTACACTCAAAAAAATATACAATTCAGATCTAGCACTTATTTTTTTTATTAGCAAATATAATTGATAATTATTTCTCATATCTAATTTATTACATTATTGATTATTTGCTAATATAATTAGCTATTAATATATTAATTAATGGTATTAAAGTAATCAGTTTGCCAATTGATTAACAACATTACTACGGCAAATATCGCCGTGGCGCCGTGCAAGCCGTGTAAGAAAATCCACTACCCCATATCACCTCGTGGTAGTGGTAGGAGGCGACAGAGGAAAATGAAACAGGAGACGGGCAGCAGCATCTTCCTGATGACAGCTTAAAATCATAAAAAACTGAGTTTTCAACATCCACCTGCCAAACGTGACAACTATGGCAAATATCCCCTCTATAAAGCAATTAATGGGGGAAGCCGACGTTTAGCAGTGAACTTTGATAGACTGACTGTAATGAATGAACGAAACTGCCATTGCTAAAACGGCCTACCAAGCAAATAGTTATTTGGAACAGTGCAGGTAGGTTTATTTTGGCGAACCCTCTATAATTTATATAATTGCGTGTATCGAAAGTAGTTCAAAATTTCATGTAAAATGCTAGTAGTAGCTCTCTGTCATCCACAAAATCTCAATCATTTTCTGGCACACTCTGTAGCAACGGTAAAAAAATTATGGAATGTCACGCGACTTATTCCGCTTTTATGGAGGTTAGTAAATAATATTTTTAGACAGGCATACCAACGAAATATCGGCGCCAGTATAATGCTGCCGTTTCGTATGATGAGTGACTTGTGACCTGGGGAACATAACAGGGCATTCAGACGTGGCAATGCATCTGCATTTTGTTTCTTAATTGGGAATGGCTATAGGTGCTTTTGGGTCACAGCATCCACTTACCATCAGATCGCTTGTTTCACTTACTTCTAAAGAAATAATGACTTAATAAAATTATGCTATTGTTCTGAGTTAACTTGACCGCCTGAATATCAAGTTCAAGGTACCGTTGTCGGTCGAAGTAAACCTGTTCTCGAATGAGGATGACGGTTTGGCAAGGTGATTGGAATCGATCTACTACTACCTAAAGGACCGACCGAACTGGAAAGAGGTTGACCAGAGCCGTCAAGTCACACTGATGTGTGATAATTTTTTATTTATCATTAATTTATAAATAAAGTTAAAAAATCAGCTGTATTTCAATATTATAGTTAAAGTACTATTTACATTGAGTTATATGTACTACGTACTAGAGAAGCTATTTCAAGCAAAAAATGTGCGCTACTCTGTCTTCGCGCATGCGCGGGGTATAGTAGAGTCGCGCATGCGCAGGTTGCGCCTGTGCGGCCAGTTTTTGTCATCATATATTAGGTATACGTAGGTAGGATTATCAGTATGCAATAATTGTTTTTTTAGATTGTGTGGTTAATTATATCGAGTACAATTTTTTTTTGTCATTTATTTTGCATATCTGCTAATTTAATATAAAATACTCTTATTTTAATCTAAACAAACATTTTATTTGTAAATAAAATGTAATAATAATTATCTTTGATAATAAATGTATGCTTTTATATTTTACATGTTATCTTTTAAAATATTCGAATTTTTTTTATTGAAATAATAATTGGGACAATAATAAGGTTTCGTTCGTTAGTCGGGGCGGGTGTTGTGCCTTATGAATTACTTGTAAGAAAACATTGTAGGAAACTAAAAGAAAGTGAATTATTATGCGTTTATTCCAGCTCAACAAATAAAATAAATAGGTATTGTATACAAGTACATAAACATATTTTACCTACATTCGGTTTTGTAATGGAACATCTGCATATTATAGTATGTGATTATAGATAGCGTGGCATTTAAATGAAGACATTTATTTTTTCTATGACCCTAAAGGTGTACGGATTGCACTACAGTTCATTTGAACATAGTGAATGTGCGAATGCGAAATTTAGTACGTAGTACATATATATCGATGACTATTTAGAATTAAGATGGTAACAGTCCATGGACATTTGCATCCAAATACAAACAAAGTAGGCTGTAGATGCGTTGTCACCTCGGAGGACTAAGGTGAAATGCCTCACAGCCTGTAATTGTACTGGCTCTTTATAAGTACCCTTTAAGACAAAAACAGCAGTTCAACCACTGCTATTTTATGGTAGAAATAAGTAAGAGGGTACTACCTACCTGTTTAATGGCAAGTGGTTAAATTAAAAATATTGTACAACCGACTCCAATATAAATTATTAAGGATAACTCAAAAACTATTGGTCCGACTTTAATCAAATTTATACGGGAACACACGAGAAGTACTAACTTTGAAGTAAAAAAAGAATCTTCGAAATCGGTTCACATAGAAAAAAGTTATGAGAACACTAAAAAAACCCTTCTTTTTAAAGTCGGTAGAAAAAAACACGTCCTTTATTTAATAAAAGGGCGAAAAGGACTGCTAGTTATTATAGTGAATATTGTTTCATATATTTTTGTTATATCTCAACACATATTTTGTACACCAAAATACCCTTTTCGAACAGTTATGTGTTGGTACGCGTACATGACGTACGTTGAATTGCGCGACCGATCTTTAAATACCAAAAGTCAACTTCAAAACAAATTAAACAGTCTGCGTACACACATTCCAGAATTCGGCCACTACTAAAAATTATTTTTTGGGGCAGTAGAGTCCGCCACACTAACGTAACGGTAAAAAACAAATATGTCTCACAAATTGTGAGTTAAGTGTTGTTAGTTCTAACTTTCTAATAAGAAATAAAAATAACATAACCCTAGTAATTGAACGATTTATAAAGGAAATAAAGAAAGTATACGTATATATTAGACTTGCAACGAATAATATATTCGGCCACAGGTTCCTATACGGAATATTCTACGGGCTTCCTGGCTGAATAGCCGAGTATTAAGCAAAAGTATTAGGCCAGTGAAAAAGAAAAGAAACTGTGTAAACTACTGCCTGAAAATGCAGAAAATTTAGTCGTTCAGCACCATAAACACTTATAACCCACTTTAAAATTTTAGTTACGATAATTCAAATGCATAGGACGTTTACTTGATAGTTTTTTGTTACTTTTTATAATAAGGAAGTTGATTGTTACCTTTGACTACTTTAGTCATTGCAAGAAAAATATATTATTATAAAATAAATCCATATTTTCATTATTACCAGTTATCTGACTAATTAGTACTGACTTACTCACGTATTTAGCCGATTAGTACCGAGATATTGGGTATTCGACAGAATAGGAAAAAGTAGCCGAATAGGCCGAATACCGAATAATAGCCGAATATTCGTTGCAAGTCTAGTATATATACAAAGTAAACGTATAAATCCTAAGGTTTTGAAGTTTGAAGGTAGCAATTATTAGGCTGATATACAAACAAGGTCCCCAAAAGGAATCTCCAAATTATAGGCCGATTCTTACTTTAAATATTTTAAATAAAATAGTTAAAAATTACATTAACTTAACTTTTTTTTGTTGAGAATAGTAAAGTTATCAACAATTCCCGTACCGGCTTTCACCCAAATAGAAGTACATCTTCTATGTTTGGGGATAATATAAATAGCTTGTTATTTAAACAAAAAAAATTGTATACGCATTATTCATCATCTTTAAAAAAAACTTCGATACAAATTACATAATTACATTGTCTATTATTTAAATATTCCCTAAACAATGAGCCTATGGTTTAGGGAATATTTAAACAATTAAAAGTACGTATTTGTGGGACCGAAAACAAGACCTAGAGGATATTGAATTTGGTGTTCGAACTAGCTCGGTCTATACCTCTATTAGATAAATAGTGCATGTAAATTTCATACTTAATTTTATTTTCAATGCAGTTCGTATATATACGCTGCCATGTTCGTCGAGCTGATGAGAACGATATAATAATCAATATAGATAAAACCGTTGCTACTTTTGTTGTTCACCTAAATAAAGTTCAATAGATATATGCAAATAAAAATTATAAATTTCTATTCACTAAATAAAAAAAGAAAACTTCGTTCGTTCGATATACACAATTCGTCGAAAGACGAATGACAATGCCGGTGTTATTAATGAATTACCTCGGCGTCTCGTAAAATATAGTAAAAGTAATAATAACTAATAAAGGCAAGAGTTCTAATTTTTTGATAAATAATAAAACCTCACGTCATGCCCAAGAATGTGATCGATTACTTTTATTTTTGGTTGAAATGGATGTTTATGATAGGTTTACCAATTGTTTACAATTGTGCGTTTAGGGGGTATTTTGTTTCAGACCTGGTCTCCGTTTCTGTATTTTATCTGTATGTAGTGTATTTATCATTAATGGTAGAAAATTTTCCTTACAAATATATATGATTATGATTAGTAGTCATAATTTCCTTTGTTTATTTACATACATAAACACTCACGCCTGTCATCCAGAGGGATAGACAGAGACTACGGACTTCCATTTGGCACGATCCTGACACCTCTCTCGCCTCCTTTACATCCATATATCTACCCTTAACCGACGAGCATGTTTATTTATGAATGTCAAAAATCTAAATGACAATTTTATTTTCAGCCGTTGTAATTTCTCTCTATGAAGATCCCATCCAACCCCAGCAAGCCGCATCCGTAGTGGAGAAATTAGGAGACTATTTAATTACCTGTGGTTATTAGAGGTAAGATATCAAAATTATGTAAGACAACAGAGTTATAACTACCAAAATATTTATGTTTATTTAAACTTGATATTTTTTTTTGCAGATCGAAGCGCGCCGTGATCTAAGAATACTATAAGATAATATTTTTTCCACAGGGAAATAAGTAACTGCATTTTGTATGTTCTATAAAAGTGATAAGGACCGTTCATTTGTTTTGATATTTGATAAATTATGGCGGCATCAGTGTCTGATGCGTTTATTGACTGCGCCCAGATGCAATTACTTTGCGGATTCTGGACACTCTTTATATGCTCACCTCTTCCACAGAGTAATTGTTGCTGCGACGTGGTTAAAATTTGTATTTAAAAATGCTTTTATCGACCAATACAGTGAAGCATATTTCGCTTTGCAAGCAGGTCTCAAAGCATGATGTATAGAGATTTTTTTAGATTTCTTTTCAAGCCATCTGGTTTATTGTTAAACTTTGCATCTCGCGTTTAATTTAATAATTGTGGATATAATCGTGGATGTGAGCTCGAAAGTCGGACATTATTTAGCGCGTACAGATGCTTGATGAGAAATTATAACCACGTAATGAAATTACTGTAATAATATACAACATAATTATATATGTAATTTTACAAATAAGCATTCGTGTAAGGGCTTGTTACAAATTGAGAGACACTGTAACCCAAGATAACGATTTTATTGAAAATCTCTAGTCCCACTGGAACCATCGTGTGTGAAATGAAATATTCGATACGTCAGTGTGAGGCGGCGACATTTCGGCACTGGGCCGCGACGCCGCCATTTCGCTATGCTTCCTTTTTTAATTACGCCGCAACTATAATCTTGTGTAGTGAATAATAAACGTTTGCATTCTGTTCTATTCTATCACTTAACTGCAGAAATAAGAAGCGCTCAATTAATCTGTATCCTCAAACAAGGCTTGCAGTAAACGAAGGGTGCATATTGTTTATATTTGATATTACTACTATAGCTTTGTACATTGTTTCTGATAAGCGATGGGAACTGTGTCTATCTTATAATAAAATGATTTGTATTATATATCTTGGTTTATTTTTATTCCCGTCCCTTGTAGTAGGTTAAAGTTAAAGTTACAGCCTATATACGACTCACTACTGGGCACAGGCCTCTTTCCATTTCTGAGAGGGATTTAGGGCAAGTAAATGCGCTGCCCCAATGCGTGTTGGCGAACTTCACATGTCTTCGAAATATATTATTTTTTCTTACACGCCATGCAGGTTTCTTCACGATGTTTTCCTTCACCACCGAGCACGTGGTAAATCAGCAGTTATAATTTACAATTAACAATTACATTGGTGCCGACAGGGATCGGACCCGGATTGCTCGCGTGCTGTGAAACTTACAGCGAGTGGTAACCATCTGAGCTACCACGGCTCTTCAGTATTTCACTTCCTTTATTTAGTAGGCAAATTCAATAAAACAGTATATATTGCTAATGAACATAATTTATTTTCCTTTGACAAAATCTACAGTAATAAGAGTTAAGTACACTCGAATATAAGGATTGGTATAAAATGTTAAAAGTCGTAGCTATACCTATCAAGTGATTTGGTTCTTCAAGATTACAACACACGAGGATCATCTTGCATAATCTAATCCTACAGTACAAGAAATTAGTATTGAACAATATCAGTTAAATGTAAACCTTACGAAAGTGATGTGTTGATAAAGCGAAAGTCCCATAACAGCTTAGATTTAAACAAAGTTTCAGCATACTTAGAGGTCCGTTTGTAGTCACACATAACTGAAATGAAATCTTGGATGTACATAAATTACTACATGGTTATCTATCTACATTTCTACACTATTTAAGAAAGAAAAGTTTCGAAATTGCACAAAATGCACGTGCTTATAAATTACAAATAAATTATACGCTGTTAATTATATCCTTATAAATACCGCTGCTATACATTCCATTAAACATAAAACAGGTTATTTTTTTAATAGTCACATAGAGAACACGCTTTTTTCATCCAGGTATAATGTTTTGTTATGGCAAACATTTTATTCATAACAACAATTTCTTCCGTTATGCGTGAAATCATCGAACTAATATTACATTATTTAGAGCGAACAAATAACTTATTTCACGTTCGGCATGGTAATACATCTTAACACAAGTTACAAATACGTGCTCTTGTCACGTAGTTTCTTCGTTCTCTATTGAAGTACCTCCGGAAGAGACTTCATGGTCAAACCAAAGGTCGAGTTATCTCGTCACGGATGCTCCAAGGAGTAATGACGGGATTTTTTCCAGAAGCTTCGAAAAAATCCTTTACGCTGCTTCTGGCCTGGATGTTCATCGCCTGGTAACAAACAAAAACTAATTAGACGGGTCATCAACATAATATGAAGTAATAATAATGTTTGGTTCGGATACGATAATGAATTTCCGTTAGTGTAACTGAAATGAACGATTTGTCGTTTTCCTGTTTTTGTTTAAATGGACCTAGTTTATTTTATCGTTAACCTTTAAAATGAATGTTTATTTTTTTTTATTTTATTCAAAATAACAACAGCTTATTAACACTTAAACTTTTTTAATTAAATTATTAAACACAAAGTAAATAAACAAACAACTCTATAAATATAATACAATATATTAATTCAAATATAAATATTACTTTCATAAAATGAGTATACCGTTTGAAAATAATCAAGATTATTTAATTGCTGAAATCTATGGGTGGAATCGGTTGTCTACGTTTATAGAAGTCATGAACCCTTAGGAAAGGGCTAGGGAATGAGATCGCGAATGTCAAGTGTACGTTCTATCTATTATCGCCCACACCCGGTCGATATCGCCGCCGCCGCCGCTGCAAGCAATGCAAATACGCTTGCTTGAATGACTGATTTTTTAAAATTAGTTGCTACACATATTTTGTTTACGTTCCCGTGGAGCTTCACATTTTTTCTACAACTAGCGGCCACAGATATTAAGTACATAAATTTCATCATCATCATCACCATTGCAACCCTTCACAAGTCCACTGCTGTACAGGAATGCTACCATAGTACGGTGCAGAGCTACCTACATCCATCGACTTCCTGCATCTCTTGCCAGGTCGTCACATGCATTTAGGGCGGGAAAGAAGCCTTACACTTCACTTACCGGTACTTGGCTCTAGAACTGACGATCGACAGGGAAGAAAGGTTATGGGTAATAAACCGAAACTAAGTAAATTCCAAAATTTAGTAAAAGCAATAAACTGAAATTAACTTTATTTATTTAAGAATAATATTCTCGATAGAAAATAAACTTCCTTTTTTCAAAACTGTAATAAAATAGAAAAACGGATTTGTAATATATACGAAGAAGAATACGTGGTACCTATGCAAAATTTCGTTTTAAAACTTCGTCATTGTGAAAAGGTTCCCAATTTACCGCGTATCTAGAGATCGGATAGCAACAATAATTTTCCGCACGCCTGCAACCAATGCGTTGACTACTGCTACGTATTAAACGAAAACGTTAATTTAGAATCTGGTACGGCTTTCTTGCCTTGCAACTGAAGCGCTGAGCAAGTAAACCTAATTAGGTTCAGCAAAAAAAAATTGCTAGTTAGCAGCAATTTTTTTATTGCTGAAGATAGAGAGAGACTTGAATTAATTTTAAACTCATGAGACCGTGGAAATATCTTTTAAGATTTAATAACTTGGCAGTTTTTTTTTAATTGTACATAATATGATTGAGACAAATGACAAACCCTTGTACAAAATGTGACCGATAAACAAATGTTTTTATGGTAAAGCTAAAAAATATTCACAATGTTATGAAATTAAATATCTTGTTAATACAGAACAGGCACGCATCGTTAGTAGGGCGTCCAAGAATAGTGCAGTATGTATTTAGATGTTTTCCAGCGAACGTCCCAAATGCCGTACATGCTGCCAAAAATAGTCGCAGTGAGCCCGCTCCGACATTTGACGCCAGATAAAATGTCTCATGAGTTTATCGTACCGTATAGTGTAAATCAAGTTTATTGAGAATATCGGCCATAAATCAAATTTATAAATGAGTATGAAAGGCATAGTGTCATGATAGGAGTTAACAATAAATCACGTGCAATGTTTAAAGTCTAGCATCTCTGCGTTGTATCTACTTATCACAAAGCAAGCTATTTATAGCAAGCGCTGTGGAGGCCTGCTCCATTCAAGTTCATTGGCTAGATTCCCCGCAAAGTTTTGTAGATACGCCATGTGTTTACATGCATACCTACTATATTACTGTTATTAAATGTGTTATTTCGATAAGATTGTATGTCTGAGAAAACTAAAGGTTAATAAAACAAAACATTTTTATCTAATGAATTCCGTAATACTACGTAATGGACTAATGACTCAGAAAAGATAGGCTACAATCGCAAAGTTGTACCACTCGTGGTGATTATGGCAAATTTTTCTAAAACCAAGAGAAGCTCATGACCTGTTGTGGACTTTTATGGGCTGATGGTGACGTTAATGATAGCTTGAGCATATCCATTTTCATTTTTTCAGTAACTACTTATTATTAAATAGCTGTTCCCAGCGACTGCGCGCGTGTTAGGGTTTTTATGTTTTTGCGCGGAACCCTAATTATTTTTCAATAATTAAAAATTTTGTACAACCGACTTCAATATAAATTATTAAGAATAACTCAAAAACTATTGGTCAGACCTTGATCAAATTATATGGGGCCACATGTGAATTCAAATAAAAAAAGAATCATCGATATCGGTTCACCCAGTGAAAAGTTATGAGGTAACACACAAAAACAAAAACATACAGTCGAACTGAGTACCAGCTCCTTTTTGAAGTCGGTAGAAAATAAAAGTAGCCTAAGTTACTCCTTTTGAAATCAGCTATCTGCCAGTGAAAGTCCCGTTAAAATCGGTCCAGCCGTTTCGGAGATTAGTCGGAACAAACAGACAGACAGACAAAAATTTTAAAAATTGTATTTTAGTTATAAGTACCGTATTTACTGTCATA